CAGGAAAGTGAGTAGCACAGAATGCCTGTTTATTAGAACAAAGTGTTCTTTCATTGAGCGAGATTTTGAGTAGAGGACCAAGGTCCATATGCTACCTTAATACTTAAGATATAAATATAGGAACACAGATCTATTTCCCTATCGTGAGAGACTAACTCTATATGTAGCGACCCTACATATAATTGAATCACCATAGCCTTATGTTATTTAAAAATCACATATATCTCAGTTTGATGTAAGTCAAGCCCTTGTCATTTGTACATTATATCTCTGTATCTGTATTTATTTTTCTAATTAAGGAAATGCAAACGTTATCCAGTCTGTGTTCAGGGACTAATAGTGTTAGTCCCCAAACCACCAACTGTAAATAATCTTTTTTTTTAAAGTATGTAACCTTCTAAGAATAATATCTAAAAAGTGTAATAAGCCATAAAAAGCATTTGACCCTAAATATTAATTTATAAGTAAATTACTAAAGAGATTTTGAGACAGCTTTCATAATTTTGCCTACTAATAGGTAATCTTTTGTTTCCACAGTACCACATCCTAATGTCCCGGGGTTATGCATTGAGCTTGGAATAATATAACTCTTCAGTCATTTATTCAGTTGGCCCTTCCCTTGACAAGACTGCAGATACTGCCTTTTAGCGCATCAGTCTTTCAATTAAGTGATCAGTTTCTTTGAAAATTCAACCTCCTAATGTAAAGACAGTAGTAAGACTGTGGATGGATGCCCATGCATGCTGACTTCCATACACAGAAACAAAAAACGTAAAAGCCAAAAGGTTTGGTTATCACCAGGTCAAATCCAACCCCTTTATTTTACAGAGGGTGAAACCTGAGAAGTTATTAAATGACTTACACTTAAGTGGCAAGACTGTAAATCCAAAATCTTTTAGATTAATAATCTCATCTTCTCTATATTGAATCACATCTTGATTCAGGAAAAATCTTTGGAGGTGTACAGCAGACTGAAGAGTAGTGGAGTTTTACACAATAAAATTGGATTGGTTGAATAAGTTATTCTGATTATTTCACTAATATTTATTCAAACTCAAATTCTAATTCTTGGGGTACATAAATGAAAAAGAATGGAGGACTAATAAACAGTAATTTCAAATTATTTGTGAAATCTTTCATTGTGTTGTATTTGGGGGAAAGGTAGCTGTTTAGGATTATAAATCACTTTGCTTCTCTTTGTTTCCAATCTCTCTCTAGAGTTGAAATCAGACCTGAGCCAATCAGGAACTGAAGTGTGCACTGAGTATATCATGAGAGACAAACTAGAGTTTTCAAGAATTATCTGTAATTTGAACCCAGTGACATTATCTTTAATTTCACTCATAATTTTTTTCAAAACAAATGATAAAGGAACCAGTGTGTAAACAATTGTTTATCAATGCATAAAAACATTAATTCCACCAATAAAGTTTCTAAACAAATTATTTCCAGAAGGTCCTTTTTAATTCCCAAAAAAGCATGAGTTTAATAGAGAACACTATGAAGTATCCAATTGTCTCACTTTGTTGCACTGTGCTGGCTTGTGTTTGCTATAAAGCTAGCAGCTATGTCACGGGAATTTTGCAAATACCAGTAGGATTATCAAATGTAAACAGATTTCAGCAGACTATCCAGACCAAGAACAGACTACAAAGCAAGAATAGGCTGTCTACTTCACAGGAATCAGTCACTGAAAACGTCATGACTAGCAGCAGCACACTGTCAGAGACTGTGCCAGAAGACGAGCCCCTCGGGTCAGAAGACACTCAAAATATGACTGAGGGAGAGCTGCCTTCTCAAAGTAGAGCTGACCCGAAAGACATGGAGCACAGACACGGAATAAAGACTGGGACCTTCACATGCTGATGGGGAGTGACTCAAAAAGAGACAAAAACAGCTCTTAATCATAGCTAAGGTAAATGGAATAAGCAATGAAGTCAAAGAGCGGAATAGAACATTTGAAAGGGTAGCTCAAGAAGAAAACGTAAAATATAATGAAACATGCCAAGTCCTCGAGTTGACAACCAAAAAGGAAGAACATACTGTGCATATCTTAATCTGAAGGAACTAAAGAAATAATTCAAGCCTCAAGTTTTGGAGAAGTCTAGGGAGGGATTGTTTCTCCAAGAATTTGAGAAATTCTATGGGCAAAACATTGAACAATGGAGGAAGCAACAATTAAAGATGGAAAGAATACACAATCACCACACCAAAAAGAGCTAGTTACATTCGACCGCTTCAAGAGGTAGCATATGATCAAGAACCAATGGTACTGAAGGAAGACGTCCGAACTACACTGAAGGCATCAGCCAAAAACAAGGCTGCAGGAACTGATGGAATACCAACTAAATGCTTCAACACGCTGATGAAGTCCTGGAAGCCCTTACTAGTTTGTGCCATGAAATTTAGAAGAAAGCTACTTGGCAAACTGATTGAAAGTATTAAAGATCATCCAAAAAGTAAAGAAAAATAATGCAGTATTACCTAAAGAGAATTAAATAGGACCTTAAAATAAGAGAGAATAACAAAAACAAAATAGCTTTATAATAAAACAGACCTAATCACCCTCCAAAGCAAAACAAGACCAAAAAGTCCCAAAACAAAGCACCCAAACTAAATTCTTATCAGAAAACTCTTTATTTCAGGCAAAAAATAATTTATAGTTTCTAAACTTCATTGTACCATAATAGTATTTGACCCCATCGTCTTTTACATGTCAAAGCTATCATACTGATGACACTTAATAAAAACAATAATAACTTACCAAGTTTCATTCAGTTACAAATTTACGTAAGGTTTTATCATCTTGCTTTTGGTGTATAGAGAGAAAGATATCAGAAATACTTCTAGACAAAGTGCTTTAGTATTTGCCTTGGATATTTTTTCCAAAATAATTTATTCTATTTGGGTTTCCTTCGTAGAAAAAGCATTCCTGAACTGAATTAGATGGATTCTGACTCAAAAGCTATATTGGTGTTGTGTCCTATCGAGTGGATTCTGACAGATGGCAACCCCATGAACACATGTAATTAGATAATAGCCAGAGCTTAAAGGAGGCAAAAACTAAAATGAATAAAGCCTTAGTAACACAACTATCAGAGAAGTCTGAAAGGTACCAAGAGTGGTAGATGCAATAGCATTTAGAAGCCTGAAGATATAATTAATACAGAGTTGATGACTGGAACATACAAAGACATCAGCGTGGGTCCAAAGGAGAGAAACCACACCAAACTCACTACCCCCAAGTTCATTCTGATTGCTGGTGTCTATAGAGCACAAAGCAAGGCTGCTGGGTAAGGCTTCCTGGAGGACTGGAAGTCTTTAGGAAAGAAAGCAGACAGCCCCATCTTTTTCTGATGGAGCAGCTGTGAGTCAAACTGCTGACGTTTCTACTCAAAGCTTAATGTTTACTATGCTACTGCGGCTCTTCAAAGGAAGAGAAAAAGTCCCCAAAATTCACAAGAAATGAAAAACAGCATATTCTTGGAATCACATATCGATCATAAAGAATAAAGGGGAATTCTTTAACCACCGTGTCATTCAACAAAACCAAGTCCTTAATAAAAAGGGACTAAGCACTAGTCTATCTTGTAGGAATTCCTCTGGAACCAATCCGAGATACAGCAAACCGCCAATTCCCATGGGAATTATCTTTAGCAGAAAAAAAAAGTATAAAGCATTGAAATCACACTCTTAAGTGTATTACAACATTTTAAAAAACAGAATGTTGCTCCATATAGCAGAAAGTTTACACTTAACAAACATTATGGTTTTCTTCATATCAAATCATGAAATCTTTCCTGTGTTGTATAAAATATTGGTTCTATTTCGCATCTACACAAGAATGAGGTGGCATATTCAGAGAGCCCAGAGTACCAGGAAGCTTCCAAAAGCTCATGGGAAAAGTGGACTGAAAAGGGAACCTATTTTCCCACCAACTTTCTGAAGCCTTATTATACTTACTACAAAACAAGATCACTTCAAATTACACATCCATTTTGTAAATCTTGTAAAAAATTAATCTTCCTTCTATGAACTTAATACACTAATTCTCATCATAAATGTGTACTAAATCATGTGATTAAGGCATCAGAAACAGCCGCTCTTCACACTGGCAGTAAATTCAGTGTGGCCAAAAGAGAAATATTTGGAAGCCATGAAATTGACAAAAGAAAGAAAAGCAATGTTGGGTGTTCTTCAGGAAGCTTTTGTTTGAGGTGTAATACCAAGGCCGGTGTTTTGTGTGACGGCGGTGAGGGGCTGGGGGTACACAGAGTAAGTAGTCAGAACAGGACGGTGGCCAGACCTCTCTTGGGGGCTGAGAATAGGAAAGTAGATGCAGCGAAGATGCTGTGTGTCTTTCAGGGAAAGGCACCGCTGAGTCTTAGGATCAATAAATCCAAACAATTTCAAAATGTGTCTACATTTCTCATATACAAGGGGAGGGGGGGGCTTACAAAAGTTATTGGATAAATGGAATGAAAAGATAATAGGAGATCCCCCCCTCCATCAACTTTCTGAAGCTGCCCTCACATATCCAATTACTTTGCTTTTCTTGGTAATTTGCCAGTTTGTTCTTCGGTATGTCACAGCTTGAATCCACTGTGGGTGAAGCAGAAAAGAGCTATGTGTTTAGGCCACGGGTGGCTTTAAAAGGAGCCAACAATAGTGAGAGTAGTGGAATGAAGCTAAACATGTAAAGAAAAGGAAGACAGAAAAATATGAGGCTCAATTGTACAACCATAAATTTCACCAATATATGTGGAGCAAGCCTCTTTTTTAAAATACTTTTTCTGAAAGTTTTTTCAAGTTAAACTTTTTAACTTTCCTAACAATCATCACTTTTATAGAATGACAGATCCAACGTACTTTGAAAGAAATGCTACATAAAATCACCTCAATTTACCTCAATTTACTCTCTGAAAGTTAAATGAACAAGGATATTTATACAGTAGGAGGTCTAAAGAGGTTGTTATAGTAAAGAACTTTTAAACACTCACCTGTAGGCTTAACTGAATAAAACCCAATGGCCTCTCCTTTCTTCCACAGAATCTTAGCATAATCAGTACTGCTATGACACAGAAACGGGATCTCATTTCTCTCCATTTCCTGTTTTCTATAGATAATTCGATTCAGAACATACAGAACCACTCTCTCCCCAAGAGTGCTCACCTACAAAGAGAGTCAGACACCAGGCACAGCGGTTAGAATGTGCATCAATCCCGGATGCTCCAAACCTTGTTTCCTGCTCCCACCTCATTCTGGCATTCAAAGCAGCTCTAATACATTCAAAATGATTTGGAAAACATTTTATCATCACAGAGATAAGTCTAAGTCTTCAAATCAGTAATACTCCACTCCTAGAGATGCATCACACATGGAACCGTACCTCTACAGAAGGTAAAAGTAGCTCGCACTGTCCCCAGCCCACAATACTCCTTTTCAGCAGGGGTTTCTGTCTCCATCTAGGGGCCAGGACTATGGGTATCCCCCACTTTCATTGGTGCCCCTACCTCCTGTACTGCTCCATCTGTTTTTCACTCCTATTCAGGCTCGACACCGACATTTTAAAATAGCTTAGTCTTACCCCTTAAGGCAGTGGTTCTCAACCTTCCTAATGCCGTGACCCTTTAATACAGCTCCTCATGTTTTGATGACCACCAACCATAAAATTATTTTCGTTGCTACTTCATAACTGTAATTTTGCTACTGTTATGAATCGTAATGTAAATATCTTATATGCAGGATGTATTTTCATTGTTACAAATTGAACATAATGAAGCACAATTAAAGCATTGTGATTAATCACAAAACAATATGAAATTATATATTGTGAAATATTTATGTGCTTTCTGATGGTCTTAGGCGAACCCTGTGAAAGGGGTCTCGACCTACAGGTTGAGAACTGCTGCCTTAAGGCTTCTAGGACAATTACTCCATGTGATGAGCAGAGCCATAATTATGCTCCTGGGAAAGGACTTACCTTTTCCAAGTGAAATGCTCACTTAACAGCCTTCCTCTCCACCCCCCTTCAGATCAGCCAAGAGGGCAGTGGCATCATAAAATCAAGTGAAAAGGTACTTGGGACAGTCATGGAATAAAAATAGAGCACGCTTCCTACACAGGATTACAAGATCACAAGGAACCACCCTCTCCCCTCACATTTTTAACATCAAATGTTTCCCCCTTAGACTTTATTTACTGCTAAAAACCAGAGTGCTGGTCTGTTTTCCCAATCACTTTAAAGGAAGACAGGTTTGCTCTTTGGTCAGCTGAACAGAAAGAGGAAAGATTAAGCACAGCCACATAACCCTTCCAGACACCCCACCACCACTACCACCACTACCACCCACCCCACACTACAATGAGTTCAGGAGCTTGCAAGCTAACCTATTCCATTCACAGGCATCTCTGACCATTATGAAACTCCTCCTCCTCTAGCTGAGCAGAAATCTACTTCCCCAACACTACACTCCTATCCTGCAGCATTCCCCTAAGTTTATACCAGTGCTGACCACAGGAACCCTCGGGGAAGGAAATGGGCTGTCTTGGCTGTCGGGTTGCTCCTACCACTGAAGACTGCTCCTTTGGCACGGCTCCAGAGCATACCTCTCCCCTGCTTGGCATTCAGAGGATGCAGAACACTGCTGGCTCTGGGCTACACCAACTCAAGGAAGGGTCTATTAGCTTTCCTTTTTCCCTTCCTTACTTTGATTTTACTTCTATTTAACTAAAGTTCGCGGCTTTTTTTTTTTCAAACCTGCTATTGCATTTTGGCCCTCATTATGTGCACGTACAGTTAATTTGTTTGAACCTAGTTGTGTTACTTTACAGTTATCCCTATTGAATCTCATCATGTTAAGTCTTTCTCTTTCAGATCAGTTGCCCCCTTCAGCATTGCGCAGACTAAGATGCTCTGGTGGTGTATGGGTTATATGCATCAAGGAGCTAACCACAGGGTCAGCAGTTTGGACCCACCAGCTGCTCAATGAGAGAAAGATGAGGTCTACTCCCTGTAAAGACTTACAATCTCAGAAACTCAAAGGGCCAGTTATACCCCGTCCTAAAGGGTTGAAATCCACTCAGTGGAAGGTTGTTCTTCCAGCACTGCGCCATGCAGAATCAGTCTGCCATTTGTTTTCGCCAAAGGAACAGCCAAACCCAAACCACACCCATTGCTCCAAGTCCATTCTCCTCACAGCAATCCTATAGGACAGGCTGAACTGCCCTGTGGAGCTTCCCATGGTAAATCTTTATGAAAGCAGACTGCCACATGCATCTCCCACCAGCAGCGGCTGGTAGGCTCAAACTGCCAACCTGTGAGTCCTCACCATGGTGACCAGCACAGAAAAAAGAACCGCCTTCTACAGTAAGCTACTGAGAATTCCTCTTGGTCTCCCTGAGCGCTCCGTTTCAGGCACAAGGTCGGGGTCTTTAGTATCTTACCAGATCTGCACCACATTATAAGGTGGAGGGAAGTGAGGCTCCATAAAGAACTGTCCGAGGCTTTATGCTGGCGGGCTAGAGGGATGCTCACTTCCTCCTGTAAATTTACCAACCAGCTCTCCTCCGTGGACCGGGGTTTGACCAGAAAAGCTGTCTCCTCCGGTTTTCCTATTTCTCATGGAGTGATGTAACAAAGGTAATTCAGGCTAAGGAATACCTGTTGTAGGAGTCCACACAGTGGCCAGAGTTTGGGTTTTGGACTCCTCTCCCTCCTTGCTATCTCCCCAGGACACCCACAGTTCCTTCACTTGTCTAAGACAAGCTACCATGTACTGTCCACATAATACTGCCTTTCTCCATTCTTTAACACTTATACCCCAATGCCCTTCACAATGCATGAAACTCCAATCCTACTTAAACACCCCAGGAGCGTCAGACAACTCATTATCTAGCAGATCTGTTCCAGAACACGTTATATAGACTCATCTACTATTGTTTACTTCTCCAATTTGAGGGTTCTAAGCAAGCTTTTGTAATTCGCTCCTGCCCTTGATTCTTCATCAAGCTGGCTAGTTTCCAAGTGCAGACATTCTTGGTCTTGAGAGGCAGGCCCAGCGGCCTGGTGTCTTCAGGCACTTTGCAAAGCATCAATGCAGCACCAGAAGTGTATTGTTCTCATGTCCATTTATCTCGTTCAAGGGGAAGAAATGAAAACACCCCAATAAACTCCAAGCTTCTTACTTTTCTACACGGGGTTCCTTTTAAAATTATATTTCATTTATTTATTTTTTTATAAATTGACTTTTACTGTGAATGGGGTTGGGGGGGTTAAATATCAGGCCATCAACTCGGTCTCTGAGGGGGGGCCTCATCGCTGGACAGGTTTTTTCTTGTTTCTTCTGATTGCTGCAATTGTCCCACAGGCATGAGCAGAAACGGCGGACACCCTGCAGATTTGACCAAATTTTACAGCCTTGGCCTCCGAGAAGTTGTCTAACGGAGGAATATCAGGATACAGCCACATATAATTTCTGTCAACTCTACTCCCCTTAAAGAGTCTCTTCCTCTTGGGATGGATAAACAAGGTTTCCCACACGTGGACGTCTCTTAAGAATTCGCTGTATGATTATGCAAAGAAGAGAGTAACGCTTTCTCCAAAAAGTCAGTATTCTACTTAAGAAGAGTCTAACGTATGGCTTCCAAGTCAAATTTTCCTATCCCCTCACTTTTATTGCCACTCATATTCTTCCAAGCACCAAAGAGTTCCATTTCTTACTTCTGCCCTGGCTCCTTGAATATTTCACCTCTTGGTTTCTGAGGGTCTTCTCTACCCTGTACGAGCCAGAACACCAGAGGAGTCTCTCAAAGCCCTTTCACCTCTAGCCTTAAGCCCAGGTACCCGCCTGCAACACCCTTCAGTTGGCTGCCTTCTCCCAGGGCCGTGCTGAGACTAGAAGGAGTGCTCTTGAAGAAACCTGGTCGCTGTTTAGACCCCAGGACAGGCCGCACAAGGACGACTCAATGGGCATGTTTCCCGGTCAGTTTCCATGGAGCAGAGAATCTCAGCATTTGCACTTGAGAGTTTAACTTTTCTTCTTAGATAAGAAAATTATACGTTGAAGTTGGTTAAGGATAGCTCAGCTAAACCAAAAATCCCTTCTTTCTCATCCAATTCCCAAACACCTTTAGAATCCCATAAAACCAAAGAAGCCCACCTGGAATGCCAGTTCCTTTGTTAAGAGTGAGACTCTGAAGGTTGACTCTAACCTGGTCTCATTAAAATGACGATGAGGTCGATAACTTCAAAAATCATCAGTGTTCATGGAACATACAGTGTTGAGTCAATGAACTTTTGAAAATACAGAATCTTGTTACCTGTTTAAGCCCCTCTCTAGAAGGGACAGATGTTTTCACAATATCATCAATAGCCCACCACTGATCGGCAAGGTAAAGTGCCACAGCTAAAACAAAGTAAATGATTATTAACATTTAAGTCTTAAGTCTGAAAGTATACAATATTACGAGTCAGCATATCAGGTTCACATAAAAACAGTAATAATGCCCAGACCCTCTGCAGTCAAGCTGACCCGACAGGAAGAACAGGGTAGAACTGCAACACGGGGTGTCCAAGCTGTGACCTTCACAGAACTGACTGCCTTACTGTGCTACAAAACCAGCTGGGGGATCTGAACTGCTCACCTTTTGAGTTAGCAGACAAGTTCTTTTTTTTTTCCCCCTTTTGACTTTTTATTTTTTTCTTTTCAGGGTTTTTATCTTTATCTATCTATCTATCAAAATTATTTTATTGGGGGCTCTTACAGCACTTATAACAATTCATACATCAATTGTGTCAAGCATATTTGTACATATGTTGCCATCACCATTTTCAAAACATTTTCTTGTTCTTGAGCCCTTGCTATCAGCTTTTTCCCTCCCTTCCCTACCCTCCCACCCTTGTGAACCCCTGAAAAATTATAAATTATTATTATTTTCATATCTTACACCATCTGCTGTCTCCCTTCACCCATGTTTCTGTTGTTCATCCCCCTGGGGAGGGTACTATGTCAATCATTGTGATCAGTTCCACTTTTTTCTCCTCACCTTCCCCATACCCTCATGGTATCACTACTCCCCTTATTGTTCCCGAGGGGTTTATCTGTCCTGGATTCTGTGTTCGAGAGCTCTTATCT